TCTCTCTCTCTCTCTGTGAATGTGTGTATGTGTCCGTCTATCTTCTTTCTCTCTCCCACTCTCTCACGCACACACATGCACTCATACACAACTCGCTATACATTAACCGAGCGACTGGTTCATAACAAGTCTCACAATTACCTTCGCTCATCATTTCCTAAGCAATGACACTATTAAGAATATTTATTTATTTATTTATTTATTTATTTAGTTGTTTATTTACATATATTTATATACATACAAACAGATACAGACACATACATACACACACACACACACACACACACACATATATATCTATGTATATATATATATATANGAGAGAGAGAGAGAGAGAGAGAGAGAGAGAGAGAGAGGACGGAGACTTGGTTTTTTATTTTATTTATTTACATCACCATTTTTGTCGTCACGCACGTAGATTTACACGGTCGGATATTTCTCCGCTAGGTGGCGGTGCCGATTATAAGCACCGGTACCAAACAGTATGGGATAGATTAAGTGTATTCATTTTTTTAATTTTTAATTTTAGATGCTTAAACATAATAATTATAATTAAATTTACCACACTGGCTGCGGCCATCGGTGGTCTGGAAGTACTGTATGAATATCTGTGCTTAAAATATATTAGATTAAGGTCGTTACACAATGAAATCGTCTAACGGCGAGACGAACGAGACATTGGTTGCTAAGTCGTCACGTAATGTGTTTATTTATCCGGACGCGTGTATATGAATACGCGAATACGGGAATATGTGAATACGCGAATATGTGAACACGGGATTTTATTTGTAAAAGCCACAAAAACTAGTAAAAACGCAAAAATCGCGCGAAATTTCGTTTTCTTGAATGAAAACGCTGGCGATATATGCATAAGAGAATTTATATTTGGAAGTTATTCCTGTTTGGTATACCGGTAAAACGCGAAAGATATTAGATATAAGATATAAGATATTATCTCGTAATTTCCTTCCGCAAAAATCACTCTCGGAGAAATTTCGTTTTCTTGAATGAAAACGCCGGCGATATGCGTCTAGAGAATTCGTCGAATCTCGAGAGTTTAGTTAATCCTAGTTGGTACGTCGTTTCCCTTCTCTAAACTCGAAGTGTAAACTTGTAAAGAGTCGAAGCGAGAGATCTCTCATCGTGTTTATCGTGTTATGTTAGAGATCTATTTTCTTGCTTAAATTCGCCAGCGCGAAGGACGGTAATGCAAGCATGATTAAGACCACGTGTATACGTAAGTGGGCTGAGCGCACGCGTGAGTGTTTTATATTTAGTTTGTTTATAATGTAAGCAGTGCCATCAGCCCTTAACGACGACACGCCAGGCGCCACGACGCGAAAAGATTGTGCGATGAAGATTCGGGTCGGTAGATGGCGCGCGGAACGCCGTGTGGTGAATTTTCCTGTTGAACTATAAATAAAAGTTAATCGTCGGTGATTCGTTCGATGCATCTTCGTTTTTTTCACTGAGTACTGCGTTACATCCTGCCTACTGTACTATACATATCAGGAGTCTATTGATAGACTCCTGTATATATATATATATATATATATTCGTCGATATATATATAAATATGAATGTACACACACGCACGTACATACTCACACACACTATCTCTCTCTTTCTCTCTCTCTCATTCTCTCTCTCTCATTCTCGCGCTCGATCGCTCTCTGCTGAATCCATGTAGAACGCGATGAAAGTGCTTACGCTGCAACCTCTAGATTGTTACTATAGACGATAGATGGCGTTGCTTTCATCTGTGCTTTGTGACCGCTAATTTCCTGCCACCGCAGAGAGGGGGAAATCGGAGTAGAGAGCGAGAGAGTATATATATATATAGTATAATAACATCCTCCACGATCTCTCTTCTGTTCGTCTGCACCACCTGCACTGTTTCCCCCCGTATCCATAGCAACTGGGCGCCTGATCAGCCGACGGATGCTGCGCGTGCGCACTGCGTATTCATGGCCGCCGACGTGTCGACGACGACGGCGACACCTAGCGGCAACGCGTGGCACAACGCCGTCTGCTGTCGCGAGGATCTGCTCCCGCTCTGCCAGGCGGCGCCACCTCCGCCTGGAGGAGGAAAAATAATTGGCCAGGTCCCCCTGAGGGCGGACGAGCTTTATCCGTGTCCGTTTGGCGAGTGCGGGAGTTAGAGGCAGGGGTCAGGGGTCAGAGCTCAAGTGAAGTGCTGACCTTGCGAGCGTGTGTTCCGGCATCGGTGAAGGTCATCGTCACTACGTTGACCACGCCCGCATTCCGTATATATCTCTCTAGTGCGCGCTCGCTCTTGGTCTCGCTCGCTTTCTCGATATCTTTCTTTCTCTTTCTCACGCTCTCTCTCTCTCTATATCTATCTATTTATCTATCTGTCTTCCTCTCTCTCTTGCTGTCTATCTCTCCCCCTCTCTCTCTCTCTCTTTTTCTCTCTATTTTTTCTCCCCTTCTTTCTCTGTTTCTCTCTCTCTTTCTCTCTCTCTCCCCCTTCTCTCTCCCCCCTCTCTCTCTGTCTCTTTCTCTCTATCTATACCCATTCCGCATATCTCGCCGTGCGCTCTCTTTCTCGCTTTCTTTCTTTCTTTCTTTCTTTCTTTCTCTCGCTGTTCCCCTTGCTCTCGTTCGCGGTCTCTCCCTCTCTCTCCCTGTCTCCCTTTACGTGTATCGTTCTCTCTCTATACATCCCACTCTCCCTCTATCGTTTCTTCGCCTTTTTCATCTTCTCTTTCATTCTCTTTCTTTCTCCCTCTCCCTCTCTTGCATTATCTCGCTCTTTATCTCTCTCTCTCTCTCTCTCTCTCTCTCTCTCTCTCTCTTTCTGTCTCTGTCTTCTTCTCTCTCTTTCTCTTTCTCTCTCTTTCTCTCTGGCTCTGTCTCTCTCTCTCTGTATCTCTCTTACTCCCCCCTCTGCCGCTCCCATCTGGTTTCTCTCTCTCTCTCTCTTTCTCTCTCTCTCTCGTTCTCTCTTATGATCTCTCTATCCTTCTCTTTTTCCTCTTTTCCCCATCTCGCTCTGTTTCGCACTCTGTACTGCATCGCTGTGTTTTGCATCGCATCGCAACTTCGCTAGCTTCTGCTCCCAGCATATAAGCTCGCCGCTTAGACCCCAGACAGGCGCTGCCTTCACTAGCTTGCTACAGTAGGCGCTGCTTGCCTGCTTGCTTGCTTGCTTCATGTCCGCTTTTTCGCATCCCTCCGTCTAGCAACTGGGCGCCCGATCAGCCGACCGCCAGGGGGCACTGCGTGTACGTGCCAGCGACGGCGGCGACACCTGGCGGGCACGCGTGGCGCAGCGCCGACTGCTGTCGCGACGACGTGCTTCCGCTCTGCCAGGCGGCGCCACCTGCGTCGGGTCCGCCCGTACAGCGGTTCGTGCCACTCAACGCCGACGAGCTATATGGATAGAGACAGCGGACCGCAGGTGTGCTGGGGAGTGGCGCCACCTCCGCCTGGGGGAGGAGGAAACCTGGGACAGTCGGTGATCAGAGCGGATGAGCTGTATGGTTGAGATGACGCATGCATGAGTCAGAGATGTGCTGCAGTCAAGACAGAGGGGGGAATCCAGCGAATGAGAGAAGAAACAGGCTGGGTTAGCGGCGGATGAGAGAAGAAAGAGACTGAAGTTGAATTCCTCACCTTGCCGATGATCTCTGCAGTTCAATATTATGTTTGGACATGTCTGGAGCTTTCAGATTATGTGTGGACGATTCAAATATAGGCTGCACATTCTAGACCACGTGGAGACCTTCTAGGAATCTTCTAGATTGTGTGCACAGTTACAGTAGAGTGTGGTGTGTGGAGCTTCTATATTATATGTAGAGAGTTTCAGTAAAGTGTGGACCTTCTATATTATATATGGATAGGCTCCGTAAAAGGTCATTTTTGATCAGGGTCAGTAAAGTCTCGACTTTCTGCATCGTGTGTGGACATCGGCATTGATATCGATAATTGCTAAACAGTAAATCGTCTAGATGAAGTCTGAACGATAGCGATAAAGTTTGGAATCTCTAGAGAAAGCTTCGGGTTCGACGATCCTTGCATCCTCTTGCTTCCTTCTCCCCTATTGCATCGTTGCCATGGTTTCTGCAACTATCTTCCCCGCCGCTTGCTATTGGATGGAAATTGCTGCAGCACTAGTTACGTCATCATTTGCATATTTTACGCATCTGTGCTAACTGTGTTCACCTGCTCATTGAATATTTAGTTTTGATTTTGCTTGAGCGATGACGTTTACATTTAGGTTCCTATGATCATGTTGACTATGTTTTATGTGTATCACCATGTCAACATTTTACACACGCGCGCGCACGCACACACACACGCGCGCGCGCACACACACACACACATACACACACACGCACACACACACACACGCACACACGCACACACTACACACGCGCGCACACCCGCGCACACACGCGTACACACGCGTATACACATGTGCACGCGCGTACAGGCGCGCTTATACACGCGTATACACGCGAACACACGCGTATACACGCGAAATCACGCGTACAGACGCGCTTATACACGCGTTTACTCGCTTATACACGCGTATACACGCGTTTACACGCGCACACACGCGCGCACACCCGCGCACACACGCGTACATGCGCGTATACACGCGTTCACACGCGCATACACGCGTATACACGCACGCTCACGCACACACACGTGGATACACTTTGCCAATGTCACAACTCAAGATATCATCAACACCGAGACTGGCACCGCAAGTCGTTGGGAATTAACTAGCCCGGCGGCAGCCAGGGACTAAGAGTCAGTCTAATCATCTAACTCTATTTATACACGCGATTATGTTTCACCGTCATAAAACATAACCAGCAAAAAATTCGCCGAAACATTTCACCTTTAAAATCACTAGATGCCGTAATTCATTGATTATACAAACAAATAAAAAAACAAACCCGAAAACCATTAAAACCAGACGAATTCCAAACTACATTTCTCCCAGATGCACGCACGCGCATGCGCGATCACAGCGCCGTCGTGTCGATGACGTCACGCCGCGGCAGCCGCGTCGTCACCGTAGTCGGCGCGTTTCGCACACTTCCGGCGCCCGCAGCAGTAGCAGCAGCAGTGGTGCCGCCTGCCGGCCGTCGCATGATCACGGGACACGGACTTCCGCCGCCGCAGACGACAACGGTATTCATTGTCGACGCCGACCGCGCGCTGGTGCCACCTCCGCTCCCCGCCGCTCGACGCGCCACCGTCGGCCGACAAGCCACGCAGCCGACCACTCTTAGCAGGCATCGCCGGAAGGCGGCGTTGGCAAGACTGTACAGGTAAAAGTTAGCAGCGTAGTTGACCGCCTCGAGTGCGTTAGCCGCCAGGCGAAACAACCGATAGGAGAGACAGTATCGGCCGCTCCACGGCGCTGCGAGCAGGTCTATCAGACGGACGATCATCGCTGGTAACGTCGCCGCGACGAAAACCGACGACATGGCGACCATCAGCGCCGTCAGCTGGCGATCGGCGCGCCCTCCATCGTCGGATTTCGCGTGACCTTGCGTGAGCGACTGCCGCGCTACGATGCTGCGACGGTAGGCGACGACGATGGCCGGGTTTAGACCGACGACTCCCGCTATGGGCAGGATCTTACTTAGGAGCGTCTGAGTCCACAGCCACGCGTGCTTGTACGCTGCATGGTGAACGATGCGCGCGCAGGGCTGATAGAAGAAGAACGTCGAATTCCGGCTGACGCCGGAAACGGCGTACTGCTGGAACGCTTCCGGTACGTGAACCGCCGCGGCGACGACGACGGCGACGATGACGACAACGCGCGCCGTCGAGCGCTCTCGCAGCGCCCTCGCGCGGAGCGGATGACAAATAGAGACGTATCTATCAAACGTCGCAGCGAGCACGATGAGATTGCTTGCGCATATCAGCGAGTTTGCGAGCGGTAAGGCAACGTGGCCAATGTATATGGCATCGGCTAACGACCACTGCAGCAGGCTAGTCTTACTGTAGACCACAGCGTTGTAGACACCGAGCACGACGATCACCGAGAAATCGACGACCGCCAGGGCGCGCAGGTAGACGTACGAGACCGCCTTCAGCTCCCGCTGGCGACCGCTCCAGAGAACGACGAGGTTGAGAGCGTTGCCGACCGTGCCGACGGCGATGATGATGGGAAAGAAGTTGCGGTACACGTAGCCGACAGCGTTCGTGTACGTCACCGAGCGACGCGCCGCGCAGTCGGCGACGTCGCCGCCGTCCGCAGCGACATCTGGCGTCGACGTGCAGAAGTTGGCGAGGATGCTGACGAATTCGGTCGAGTCCATTGTTGCGGTGGTGGGGGTGGCTGGGGGTCGCGTCGGGGTCGTGAGGGAGGGGTGGGTGGCTGTGGGTGGAGGTGGTAGGAGTTGGGTTTTAGGGCTTGGTGCTGTGGTTTAGGGGGACTGTAGGTAGATGTTGGGGGATGGGTTGGGTCAGGTCAAGGTGTCACGGATGGTGTGGGTGGCTCTTGGTAGGTATGGGTGGGTAGGTTAGGAGTAATTGTGAGCGTACGTCCAATCGATAGATCGATAGCTGATCAATGAGGTTCGATACGATGCTGGAATCCGGGGCAAAGCTTCTAATTCACATGAAGCCAAAGCGAATCCGCCCGCGCCGTTGCCATAGCGACCACGGCGAGTCCTAGCGGATGCGCTGTTGCGCCGTTGCTCAGTCGTAGCGGATGTGTTGTTGCGCCGACGGTCGTCGCAGCCGGAAGCAGCTCTAGGAGACGGAAGGAGGTGACTACCTGCATGTGTGTGAGAGACGGTGAGAAATGCACATGATTCAAAGATGGATGCAATCTCTGGTTTAATATCGGTGAGATATTCTGAAAGGATGGTTTACATATGACATTTTATTACAGTAAAGACGTACCATGAGCGTATCCATGAAGGTTGACGCATCGTTTAGTTAATATGCAACAATGTTAATTTGGAATTAAAGTGATTACGTCACTGTAAATAGTAAAAAATAAAAATAATATTTCCACTTTTTCACAAAATATAAGTAATTCTGTTCACATTTTATGGTTAAATTGCTGCATTATACTTCCTATTTTACTATATTGTTTGATGTGAACTTACACTCGTGACCCATACATAGCCCATAACAAGCAATTAATGTTGCAAACATTAATTCAAATCGTCCATGTTTTTTGGATTTTTAACTAGTTGAGAAACAATCTTATCAGGTAAGAATTTGATATACCCATCGTTAAGTATGATATAACGTCATCGTAATCCTCTGCGTAATAACATTTATTTATTTATTTATTTATTTATTCTTGTGCATTTTTCACCCATATCATATATAGAGGTTACTGAGAACATTATTATACATATAGAGAACACATAGAATATACACAAAGCGTACTAGAGCATACATCAAATATACACATAGCAGACGTAGAGCAAACACAGAGCAGAGTTAGCGTAGATATATACGCCCCACTATACCCACGCATACGTCTCCTGTCTGCAGAAATATCGAGCCCGTTGTCAGAAACAAAATTAGTCTTAACATTATAGTGTTAACACTAACATTTTCTCGTAGACCGTCGACAGCGCTTTGTTTCGTATTGTTTTGAGGAAATCCGCTACGATTTCTCATTCAGGTAACTTCGCAGCGCTTCTGTCGACCGTCTACGAGAAAAAGTGAATGTTAAGACTAATGTTAAGACTAATTTTGTTTCTGACAATGGGCCCCATGTCACCGATAGCCATCGATGTGGCAACTATCGGGTTAGGCTCATGGGATGGGCTTGCGGTCAATGTTAGGGTAGGGGTACGGGGTAGGATTGGGGTTAGGTTTAGGATTAAGGTTAGAGTTAGGGGTAGAGTTCGAGCTAGTGTTAAACTTAGGGTTAGTTTTAGGGTTAGGGTTAGGGTTAGGGTTAGGGTTAGGGTTAGGGTTAGGGTGGGAATTAGGGTTGGGATTAGGGTTAGAGCTATAATTATGGTTAGAGATAGGACAAGGTAATGGTATAGATTGCGGTTAGGGATAGGGTTAGCGTCAGGCCTAGGTTTAGGGTTAGGGATAGGGTTAGGGTCAGGCCTAGGTTTAGGGTAAGGCGTGAAGAGCATAGGGAATGACAAGGAAAGTTAGTCACATCTTATTCCTAAGCATAATCGTAAACCCAACTCTAAACCTATCGCTTTCCGTATCCGTTCCAATAAGCATAGGAACATAACCGTGATATGAACATAACCGTGATATGAACATAACCGTGATATGAACATAACCGTGATATGAACATAACCGTGATATGAACATAACCGTGATATGAACATAACC